CAATGTGCTGTTGAGAGTTTGATACCGCTGGTCTATGTGAAGCATCTGCAAGCAAAAATCTAGAGTGCATCTACCCAGAGGATTGTATTTAATCATTCCTGTAGGAAATGCTTTTGAAATACAGTCTCCCTGGGAAGAACTGCTTCAGAGTCGCTTTCTCTGAGGAAGATTGGTCTGAACAGGAACACAAGTCTTTATTGGCCCTGCTGGAAGGACTTTGGTACAGTTCTGGACTTTTAATCAAAGTCTTTTGGCCTACTCTTGATATATAAAATTATTTGCTTAACAGTTCCTCTTATCTGCAGTGTGAAATACAAATACAACAAAGGACATAAAAGAAGGCAGTAATTAAAACTGAGGTTTATATAAAAAGAACAGAAATGAAGAACCATGATTTTGCAATGCTGTATTCAAGAGCTACCCAATAGGATTGAATATAAAAAATTGAGTAGCAGATTAAAATAACGTTCAGGTCAAGGTATAGTATCTGATTAAAAGTTTGTATTTTTTAAAAAAAACAACCACATACATAGGTATAAGGAATAAATGCCTGGTAATAGTGTATGTTAAAATAATGTTAGATGTTTAAATGGGAAAATTTAACCACTATAAAAATTATAGTTACAAAATTAAATTTCATGGTGATTTCACAGATATGTTTTTAGGAAATAATAGGAGAGTAATTTGCTACTGCCTTCTTCCAGATTTTTTAAAATTTCAATTCTAATGAGATTTCCTGGTTGTTTCACATCAAAGTATTAACCAGGTCTGATCCTGATTACTTTTTTTTCAAAACTTGCTCTAAACAGAGCAATACAATATTTAACTTCATTCATAAAAATATAATTTCCAAATTACAATTTCCAAATTAATAGTTCCATTCTAATCTATACTGGTCAAACCTCACCTCAAGTGTTATGTCCAATTCTGTCTCAGAAAAAATAAGAATGATAAGGGACTGAAAACTATGTCCTTTGAAGAAAAATGGGATGAACAAGTTATCGAAGAAGATTATGAGTTCTGCTTACTGGATGTGTCCAAGACAACCCTCAATAGACATTTCTTGGGGAGTGGGGGGTTAAGGTCAGAGAACATCAAGGTTAAAGTTGGACTCAGTCTAAACTGCTTCTGCTATCTCAATAATTCCATTGATTTTTAGTGAATAGATTAGAACGTACAATATGAGAAGACGCTGAAAAAATATGAGAAAATAATAAGTGTCAGAAAAAGATGGTAATGGCATATCCAAGGAGAAAGTACCCAACAGATAACTGAAGAAGCTACCTTAGAGGTGAAGCATTGGTTTAATCAGCAGAAGTGACACTAAAAGCAATGGCATTTGTAGAAACCATCTAAAAGGACTGGGTTGCAAACAAAAAACAAGTGGTGAACAGATCGCTGAAGGATCTCAACAGGGGAAGAAGAAATAAGTGGAAATCTATGTTTATCTCTAGTAAAACTCAATTAATAAAAATATTCAGGAAAAAATAACAAATATGCTTATATTAGAGAAGGTCCCAGGTTCAATTCTCATCATTTTACTGGACTAAGGCTCATCTGAAGTCTTTGAAACAATATCCAAACAACAATTGAGTTGGATGACCCAAAAGTCCTATTATGTGTAAAGCATCTGTCTCTCATCTTTCACCTCCTCAGAACTGATGAAACAGCATCAAGCCAAAAAAAAGAAAAAATATGAGTTTCATTTACAAGTTACTAATTGTTTCAAATGGCTCCATTTCAATAAAAGGTCTTCTTTTTAAAGTACTTGCCTTCATACACAGTACTGTTTTGCTATGACCTTCAAGGGTTCGAAGGAGCAGTCCATTTCGGGCATCTCGCACACTAATTGTACAATCGTAGGATCCCACAATCAGTAATCGGCGTGCCCCTTCCTGAGCTGTAGCCAGGCAGCTAATTGCCCTAGGACCATGACACTCAAAAGTCTCAAGTTGTCGGTTGTTCTGGGGGGGAAGAAAATACAACCTAAACACAAGTTTTGGACACAATTATTTCCTTCCAGATCTAAGAGCATAAATCCTACTTCTAATTATATGAATGACTTCCCACAAATTCCAGATCCCCTTATAACTGGACTTGTAAAACAATGGTTTTTTTTTTCCATTAAGAAACAGTGTTGTTTACTTTTTATGGAGTGAATTTCTTTAAGATACACTCTGCTCATAGCAAATACTTAATTTTAATTTTGAAACAAAAAATAATTCAAAGAAACAGAAAAGTATGGGTGGACTCCTTTCACAGTAACTATTGCACCAGCAAATTTTAAATTTATGTCTGATTGTGCTTATGCATCAACTAACCTCTGACTGTGCCCAGATAAATCTTCCCCTTATTTCTTTATGCAAGTTGAACTTCAAATATTATTTGTCCTTTACAGCAGCCTTTCTTCTTGGAGATTAGCAATGTTTACATCTCTTATACTGACCTTTATATTAAAAGTGACCACATTTCCATTTGCAAGGCCAGCATAAAGGATCCTCCATCTACTGTGCAGGCAAAGCACACGCTCATCCAGTTTAAACTGATCAGTAAGTTCTCTTGTCTATTAAGGGAAAAATGTAGGATTTACTAAACTCATAGTAAATAGCCTTAAGAAGCAGCTTGAACACAAGCTTTGAAAGTATATTATTTAGGAAACTCTCTTGTTCATTGAGAAATCTAAACTACTATGTGTACTATAAAGGCAAAAGGAAAGTTTCATTTATATAGCAGTTTAAGTTTCTCAACGTACAACCAAACTTGCTTTAGGTGTAAGTCTGCTGCTGAAAACCACTGGAAGAATGAAAAACTGAATTCTAAATATATCTTTAACTCTGTGCTGCTTTAAAGTCTTATGTTTAGTCTTCTGTTCTACAATGTAGAAGTAATGCACACGGTATTGCCTTGACTTCTGCCAAGAATTTTATCAATCTCAGATCAAGGAATGCATACAAATAATAAAAATATATAAAAAATTTGGCTTAAACTTTAAATTGTTATCCAAGGATTATCACTTTGCATCAGTGAAAATGTTTTTATTTCTGGAAGCCACTTCAAATTTTTAGATGCTTAGAAGATGCTTTAGATCAGAGGTTTCCAAAGTTGGCAACTTTAAGACTTGTGGACTTCAACTCCCAGACTTCCACAAGTCTTAAAGTTGCCAAGTTTGGGGATCCCTGCTTTAGATGCACAGAGCTGAAGAAATATCAGACTCCAAAATGTCTCGGAAGTCTACCAGTGCTAATCCATCACAATTGGCATAGGGAGAAAATGAACAAATTCAGAATCCAGAATTACAAAAGGCAATGCATTTTCCTCCTGGTTAATTAGTTGCATCAACAATTATCATTTACCTTGGTGTTATAGCAGTTTATATTGTGATCACTGGAGCCAGAATAGAGTGCTGCATTTTTCCCTGTTGTCTGGATTACCAGGAGGCAGTTGACTTTGGAAGCGTGCCCTTCAAAGACACCCACACATTTCCTGTTCTATAAAAAGAATGAAATGTGGTCAGATTGTATTTAAATTGGGATGGATGACTTTTAAGAGGTAGAGATCACCCTTTCTGAGAGAAAGCAAGGACCACACACATGGGATGGGGGGGGGTTGTTTCTAGTTTTATTAAAATTATTTTGGGGCTTGCACCTCTGCTTCTGTATTTACCCCCCCCCCCCCCCCAAAAAAAAAAAAGCGGGAAGCCATCTCACCAATTCTTGGCACTTACAATAAAGAGGCAGCTCTTAGAGATATAAGCAATTTAAGGTGCAACTTTTTGCCAGTTTACTTACTTTTCCAGCAAAAAGCGCCATAGAATAAAGTGGATTCACATTACGAACATGGTGTTTACATAATGGCCGCTCAAAAAAAAAAAAGGTTGTAAAATTAAGCCCGGTCACTTAGTCACTCACTAACAACTGCAGTGACTTATGATCGATTTTAGGCTCAACTACAATTGTTAGTTGAGGTCTACTTGAGGGCTATACTTACAAATAAGCATAGCCCCAAACTACCTGCCTAATATTGTCTTCTAGCAAGTTCCACCATTCCTTCAAGAGTTGCAACTTCATATGAACTTAAGCTCTGTAAGAAAACTTTTGTCACCATTTTTTCATGAAGCAGCACGCGTATGTCTGCATAAACCTAGGAACAAGAAGCTACTTCTTTTATTGTTTTGAATTATTTTGTATTTCCATCACTGGTTTCTTTTCTTAAGAGAGATGTTAAGTATCATATGGCATTCACTAGATTTGATTAATAGCTTCCAAATATTAATTTCTAAAACAGAGTTCTATAAGTATTTTAAAGTTTCCTTCATCTCTCCCCACAAAACTGAATAGGTTTCAGTTTCAACTGAACAGATCAGCGGTGGGATTCAATTTTTTTTACTACCGGTTCTGTGGGTATGGCACACAGTTCTGATGGGCTTCGCTTGGCTTGATGGGCATGGCAGGGGAAGGATACTGTAAAATCTCCATTCCCTCCCCACCCCACTAACCTGCTTTCCAGCTCCGTTCTCCTGTGTCCTCAACAAAAGAAAACCCAGCCAATCAGCTGGGACTCAGGAGGCAGAAAATAGATGGGGGCGGGGCCAGTCAGATATGGTATTTGCCGGTTCTCCGAATACTCAAAATTTCTGCTACCGGTTCTCCAGAACTGGTCAGAACCTGCTGAATACCACCTCTGGAACAGATGCATTTATCCCAAGACTGTTAAAAGTTGCAGTCTAAAAAATATTGAAATGTCTACTTTTCCACTTTTTCTAATTATTTAATTTTTAATAGCCCCAAGACTTTCTTTGGGTCAAAGAGGTCACAATCCAACTGCAACTTCTTCAGCAGCTGTACTTACCACTAAGTTATACGCACGGACAGTTTTGTCTGCTGAGCAGGTATACAACACATTCCCAAAAATCTGAATGGCATTCACTGAAGCTGAATGCCCCTCAAATATCCCTTCTGTGGGATCCTCATCTTCACCTGGCTCTGAAGACACTTCTGGCAAATACAAATCAAAGCTTCCAATTAAACATTTTGTTCATAAAAGTGCACTTAGTCTTCTATAGTATTGGGAATGGTTAATGGCTCCCCTTTGCCTTCCCACCCAACCATTTCTTTTTCTTTGTACCCATTACCCAGTGCAGCATAGTGCTGTCCTCACCCTCTCTTCAACATGTGCAAAGGCTACTAGCCTTCCATGCCACTTCTCCCAACACATAATAATCCTCCAAGGTCTGATCAGTCTCCCTTAATCTAACCCTTCCACTGAGCAACAACTCAAGTTTGTTTTGACCCTATTAATTGAAAGAGTTGAGAAAAGGAACTAAACTGCAATTTGTCAAGGAAGAAATACAGTACAAAAAGGTACCAACTTGAATAGATACAATTTGGAACCATACAGAAAAAGCTTACTGTCACCACAGGAGAATATTAAACATGAGGGAAAAGAAATGGAAATTGATTGCATCACCGGAAGAGTAACACTAACGTTCTCCAAATACATTCAAATATATGTTACAAATAAGTATAGCACCAAAATGATTAGCTTTGAACAATATTTTATTGTCATCTAGCCAAAAAATTTACATTAAAGCTCCTCAAAAGTTTACTGAAGTGCATCTCAAATTAAAAGTTGGTTCCAAATGATTAAATTCCTTAAGTCAAAATGTATCTCAAAGTAGTCTTAGAGTTCCTTCTTCATACAGAGTAGATACAAAGAAATACAGAAAGAAATAATAAATAATTTACTGGCTAGAAGAAAGAAAAAATAATAATTTTCACCAGGCAGATCAAAGGGCAAGCAAGTGATATAAGAAACCTTGAGTCAGTCTCAGAAAAAAAAAATAGCTTGGGTATTTTGGAAATTTCAGAATATTTTAAAGTGCATAATTAAAGCAGTATGAAGCAACGGAATTCCAAGAAACTACAGCTTCATTTCTCCTCCAAAAGATCTTACACTTACTTTGCTGTTAAGAAAATCAATATGCAGACAGATGTACCTGATGAGGTTTTTGATCCTCGTAATGACAATATAGGTGTCTGAGTCTCAGCCACACTATAGAAGAAAGAGAATGCCACTGGTAATTTAAGTAGTTTAGGGGGAAAAAACACCATTACAAACCTAACACTACATTAGAATCTTCCTGGAAAAATATTCTATGAAAGAGGAGTAAGTCTTTCTACAGAAACTACAATGAAACTTTTCTCAAGGATTTTTGTCATAAATGGTTTGCTAAATATGGTTCAGTATGTCAAATTTAATATAATTGTTTTCTAAACCAGTGGTCGCCAACCAGTGGGCCGGGGACCACTGGTGGTCTGCAAAAAAATTTTGGTGGTTCACAGAGAAATGTCACCCCCAAAGTACCCCCCAAAGCAATTAATCCAGGCTGTGCGGGAACACAAGGCTGCACTGCGCACATGGCCCACGGGAACACAAGGCTTGTGTTGCTTACATTGCGAACAACATGAGGTAGTGAGGGGAGGGGGGAAAGGGCGGAGGGGGGGAACTTGCCTCACCCACCCCATGCGCCTTGCCTGGCAACCAGGCTGCTTCTTTCCATTTCTTTCTTCTTCTGCTTTTGGCTGCACGCAAGGAAAGCAGCAAAAGTCTTTCTTCCTCTCCAACTCCGCCAGAATTGAGTCTTTGGGAACCTGCAAGGCCTCCTGCTTCAAGAGGCTGCACCGGCACAACAAGTCTCACAAAGACTCATTTCTGGCAGAGTTTGGGAGAGAGAAAGAAAGACTGTTGCTTCTGCTGCTTTCCTTGCGTGAAGCCAAGTCTCTCTCTCTCTCTCACCCCCCATGAGAACAGAGCTGGAGAAGGTATTCTGCGATCCCAAATAAAGAATGATTGATCAGTAGGAAAACAGGGTGGGGAATTTTCCTACAGACTTTTTGGGGGATTTTCCCAGGGTCTCTGGTCAACAGGATTTAAAATTATGAATTTGGTGGTCCCTGAGGTCCAAAAGGTTAGCCGCCCCTGTTCTAAACCATTTCTCAGCTAAAGGATTCCCTGAATATTCCTTTAGAATTTCTAAAGGATTTCTAAATGTTAAGAATACCAATTATATTGCCCCTAAGAATCCATAAGCACTAATATTTTACTAACCAGATTAAAAGCCATTACAATGCAGACAACAATCAGTACACATATAGTTTGTCAGCTCACCTTCTACCAATGCCATCTTTATAGTTCACTCCAATTTCACTAGTAGAGCTCACTTCACCGTAGCCCGACCGAGATGACTCTCTCAAAAGTTTCTCTGTGAAGCTCAAGGTATCTCTCTTAGAAGGGCTGTCTGGTTTCTCTCTTTCTGATTCTGAAGAGTTGATGGCCACCACTTCCAGAGGAGATTTAGGGACTTCCACAAATTCAAGGGATGTGTCACTGTCATTCTCCTCATTCTTCCTCTTTCTTTCCTGAGCAGCCACACTATCCACTTGCTTTGGAGGGATGGATGTTGTTACTTTTCCCCCCTTAGGTATCTTTACAGTCTTTACTTTCCTAATTGGTTTTGAATCACTCACGTCTTGTTCTGTATCACTGTTCTCAGGAACACGGGCTGCTCGGAGTGCTTTCTTTTTTTTCAACTTTTTCTTCTTGCTTATCTTGAATTCCATGGAGACCATGGTAGAGAAAGCCATCTGCTCAGGCTGTTCAGTTGGCTGCTTATTATTTTCATTTGCAGCAAGTTCAGAAGTAAATGACTGGCTTTCAAATGAGCCAGTACATGGTCCAGATATGGTATTGCCCACTGGACTTATCTTGCCTTGGGTTTTCACTGAAGATACTGATCCTGAATTAGTAGGGGAAGAATGGCGAGATAACCTTGTCCCCATCATATTTGGAATAGATTTCTGAATATCTTGATTTGCTTTTTGGAAATCAATAAGTTCTGACAATGACATACTAGCAGTGATAACTGGATACAGTGAAGGCTGTTGACTTGTATTTCCTGAAGAAAGAAGATGGAATATTTCTTTTCACCTAATTGAACAATTAACTGTTATACAACGTGCTTCATTATATATGATGTTTTGTGACAAATCAATAATCAATTCAAGCATTTAATCAGGATATTATTTCATACTCTGGGCCTAATATTAAATTGGCTCCAACTCCTGTAAATAGTATTGAGGCAAGTCATTTTCTCCTGTCATGACTTCTGCATCTATACAATATAGATAGCAATGAAACCCTCTGGAAAATTGTTCTCAAATTAACATTTAGCTAAAATTGGAATAGAAGTAAGACATAATTAAGCCTAGGAAACCACAACCTTAGTGCAACATTGAAAGGTATCCAAGCTGTGAAATTCTCAGGAGGAAGACATAAATGCAATACCAACCTATGAGTGAATTGGGCTCTGACACATTTATTTAATGAAGTATTCAAATAAATAGTATCTCTGAGGAAAAAAATTACTTCAATTACAGTAAATAATTGGGAATTGTTCTCTCCTTCACAGACTGGTTAAAGCATCACAACTGTTGTCATGAATTTACTTCTCTACCACTTCTGCATAGTGTATATGCTGAACTTACTAAAGATTAGAGTTGCTCACTAAGCAGCCCAGCAGGAGAGAAGGATCGATATACCTTAGTTTTCATCCAAAATTAAGACTCCGTAATCGCAATGAATGGGGGGGGGGAGGGAGAGAGAGAGGGAGAGAAAGAGGGATCAACTTAATTTTAATGTACAGTAAACCAACATACTATCTTGCAAATGAAGCTCTGCTTGGGGGAAACGTGGAGTATTCTGTTCAAGAACATTCAAGAAATCTTCTCTAAGCTTTGGAGACACAGCTTCCTGCTTGATTTGTATGGATGAATCGGGGACTGTGATGGGGGCAACGTCACCAGCAGTCTGGAATGTAGATTCAGCCTTTTCTTGGACAGGGGCTGCAGAAGGAGGAGGGATTTGTGCAGAGATAGGTGGAACAGCATCCAGAAGAGGAGCAAGAAGACCTGCATTAGTAGTAGGATCCTGTATCAAATGGTGCTTGCCAGGGCTTTTTTCACCTGAGCTGCTGTGATGTGGCTGTTGCGATTGCAATTGATCCGAAGGCTCGTAAGTTTCTAAGAAGGGAGCAACATATTCCACATTAAAATGTGCTTTTTAAAAATAAAGAATATTATGTGGCACAAGTTCTGTCTTGAGGTTTTCCAAACTCACTGGCACTGATGGGTAATGAAACGTCTGTAAAAAAAGAACGAAGTTCAGAGACCACCAAGGATCCTTGAGCTACAAATATTCTCCTTCATACACTTGACTTGTCCAGGAAGCACATTCCCCACCTGCTTCCTTTCGTCTTCTAATAATTCACATAAAAGCTGAGAGTGCTGTGGGATCAAGAGCGAGTCCATTTTTTTTGAAATTCTGCACTAAAAAAAATTCTGTACTGTTCTGAAAAATGGAAGAAATGAACTTCTGTACTGCAGAGATCTCAACAACCAAGATACCACAGAAAATATTCCCCACTGACAAAACTCTCAATGTTAAAAGATGAAATTACACCAGCACTATAATTGTTAGGTTATAAAATTGATGGAAATCTACAGAAATCTGGCAAGTCAAAGATGGAGTTCTAACCAAACTATATCCACAAATCGAAAGAACAACAAAATGGTCAAAATATTTTTAAAGTCTACATAACAATTCCAAAGAAAGAAAATGTGTGCAATCCATAGCATATATCCTTAATTTCACATCCTAGCACCGTGATGGCGAACCTATGGCACGTGTGCCGTAAGTGGCACGCAGAGCCACTTCTGCCAGCACGTGAGAGGTCGCCTAGAAGAGTCCCTCTGTGCATGTGCGTGCGCCCCCGCCAGCCAGCTGATTGTCAGGTATCTGTCGCGCATGCGTGGGGGGGACACGCATGTGGGAGGCATGCGGCGTGCGGGGGAGTTGCACGTGCATGTGTAGAGGTGTGCGGTGGGGGGGTCGCACGCGCATGCGCAGAGGTGTGCGCGCACACGTGCACTTTTTGCACGCAAGGTTAGCCATCACTGGAAAAGGTTAGCCATCACTGTCCTAGTAAAATAATGCTTAGGATCACCCAAGATAGATTAAAAAAGAAGATGCCAGGAGCTGGATTTAGAAATCTGAGTAATTGAGAAAACCAAAGAATTCCCCAAATAAGTAAATATGTACTTCGCTGACTACAGAAAAGACTTTTGATTGCTGAGACCCTATCAAGCTGTCAAATGTACTGAGGAAACTGGAAATCGGAGAACATCTCAGTTTCCTCTTCTATATACCAGGCCAAAAGCCAAGATCCAAATGGAACACAACTCCAAGTCAGCAAAGTTACCTTGTAACCCCTGTAGGATCTGGATCCTCTGGGTCCTCAGAGATCCCATTTCTACTGCTATCTAGAAAATAAAAGAGATTTAAATAAGGACCAGCAAATAACATCCTTCTGAAATTGTGGAAACCAAAGCGAATAGATTCCAACCTGCTGTTTCAATACAAGTAATCGCTGGACTTCAATATAAGCTGCTTGCAGAGCTGCTCGAGCCTGCAGGAGGCTTTCGTCTACGCACGGTAATGATTTGCTTAATTCTTCCTCTCTCAGGGAAATCACCAACAACTGATCCACCTGAGAACGCTCTGAAAAAGATGATGTTGTAAAACACAATGGAGGCGCATGTCATTTGGGAAAACATTTAGAAAACGATTGTGTATGTCACCTGTTCGAGCTCCATCCTAAACCTTGGGAACACCTTTTTCTTATGCAGAGCAAATACAGGTCGTCCTCGACGTATGACCACAATTGAGCCCAACATTTATGTTGCTAAGTGAGAAATTTGTTAAGTGAGTTTTGTCCCAGTTTACAACTTTTCTCGTCACATTCTTTTTACAGTGAATCAATGCAGTTTCTTAAATTAGTCACACGGTTGTCAATTGAGCATGGTTTTCCCCATCGACTTTGCTTGTCAGAAGGTCGCAAAAGGGGATCGTGTGATCCTGAGACACTGCAACTGTCATAAATGTGAGTTGCCAAGCATCCAAATGTAAATTACATGGGGATGCTGCAATGGTCATAAGTGTGAAAAATGGTCATAGGTCATTTGTTTTCAGTGCCATTGTAACTTCGAACAGTCACCTAAACAAACTGTTGTAAATTGAGGACTACTTGTATGTTGTATGAGCTTACTGAAATCATGAAGGAACATGAAGACAACCAAACTTCTGTCTCCACAGGGAATACAATTATTACCATACACAAAATTCCTAAAATATAAACTTAAGGCAATAATGAGATTTTTAAAAAGTTTATTTTATTGTATAATATATCCATATCAATGCGTGAACAGTGTGGCACCTGGGCATCATACATTTTGGGGCAAATAAAAATAGTGCTATTAATCATATTTGTTACATTCCTCAGGCTTATGTAGTTCTAGTGTTGATACAAATATTTGAATTAAATTATAGGCTTTCATTATTTAATTATTCAATGTTTCAATACGTTATTCCAATGCCAATCACATATTGTTTATCACAATAATGAAATGTTAATTGACTGCAATCACCCACCTTTTTTTCCTTTGATCTTCCTTCTTTTAGTCTTTCTTTCTAAACTTGGGATTTCAGGACAGGAGCCCTCCTAGAAATTAAGATGAACATTTCTAGTTAGTTTAAGCCATGGTACTTTAAGGCTTTGCAAATCATGTTCAGAACAAATAGTAATTTTTTTCAATGAGAATGATTTCAAGTGAAATAATCAAACCAGTGAACTTAAATTATGCAGGCATACTTTTATTGTGACCTCAGTTTAATCCACAGGCAAATGTAACCAAGACTCTGCATTGATTTTTCATTACTGATACCATCCTAGCAAGAACTTAGAAAAGATAAAACATAATCAGAGTTGGAAGGGACCTTATAGGTCATCTAGTTCAACCCCCCGCACAAGCAGGAGACCCTACACCATTACTGACAAATGGCGGTCCAATCTCTTCTTGAAGGTCTCAAGTGAAGGCACTTGAACATTAGCCTGAAAGTGATAAAAGACAGTACAATATTTTTATGACCCAAATAAGCACCCACATAAATATCCAGTATACCCCAGCTTTTGCAATTTGGATTTCAACTCCTACAGTCTTTCATTCAACATGGTAATTGATTGTGCTTACTGGGGAATTAGGGAAGGTAAAACTATATACTTTCACGAGATTGGGAAAGGCTGCTTTAGATTAAAGTAACTATCATAATTAGATAAAGTCTCTTTAGGTAAACATGCTGAGATGGGATTCTACATTAAATGATTCTTTTACCAAAGTATTATTATGCTTATGGATGTTTTTCATAGGCTGGTTCATGAATTCAATGACTACAAATAAAATGAAATCACTTCTAGTAGCATACAGAGAACTTACTCCTGTTGCTCTTCTTTTCTTTCTCATTCCCTGGCTATCATTCTGCTCATTGCTTGATGTATAGCTGCTATCAGTAGCTGCATCCAGAGTGCCGATGTCTACAAGGCCTGAAACCAGGGTGGAATGTTCTTCTGCACTCTCCATTGTTCCTTTGTTTACAGATGGATGAACGATAGAGTCAAGGTTTCTCTGGACTTCGCTTGTACTAAAGATTGGGATATCTGGGGTAGTCTTGAGGTTGAGTTTCCTTTCACTTGAAGTTAAATCAATTCTGTCGCTCTTGAATGGGGAGGAAGGAAGAGAAGATGACTCCTGTTTTACAGTAACCGCAGTATCTTCTAACATCTGAATTCTGCTTGTGATATCCTCAGAGCTGGCAACTGAACCAGATTTTTTCAGCTTGTCTTCTTTACTTGTGCCTTGATTATTAAAGAAACTGTAAATGGAGGCTGTCTTATCGACAGCCACACTGCTTTCCGAGAGGCTACGTTTCCTAACTGTTCCTGGGGAACCTATAGATATCCCTTCCCACTGGAATCCTTCAAGACTGGTGAGGTCAACGTCTTCATCCAACTCAAGGCCTTGGTCATTCTGGATGAGCGGAACCATCTCAATGCCAAACCTTAAAACACAATCATGATACATATATGAGTGAAACATTTTTTTAAAAAAGACACAACTACTTCTTTCAACTAGGTAATTTGTTTAATATCAAAAGGTAAGGAGAGCTAAGTGTGGGGAAATCCTGGTTGTAGGACTAGATGGTGGAATTAGAAAGGCATTCTAGAAGATGTCAATGGCAATCTACTTCCTACTGCTGTTCAGAAAACTATAGGGAATACAGCTGGATTTGAGGGCATCTTCAAATTTAAATTTTATCTACAAATACTTCAGCAACATTACTGGGTTTCTCTAACTATGGAGTTCAATTATTTTATCTTTTACAAACCATTAACTGGACTTACCATAAAACCAAGTTAATATTTTTAGCCACTGTTAGATGAGCAAAATATTGACCAGATTCACACATCATTGGAAGCCATAATGTGGAATATGTCTATGGAGATTCTCAATCATCCAGGTCACAGTTGTCCCAAAGGTGCATTTCAAAAAGAAACTGGATTTTCTTGGGTTTTTTTCCCTTGAAAATGTTTTACTTCTCATCCAGGAACTTTTCAGTTCTGGCTAAATGGTGGGGAATGGAAGGGTTTTATATTACATTATATATATGAAGACCACTGGTTTGAGAAGGCTCAAAGAGGCCACCAATATTAAAACTGAATAGCCCTCTCTTAATAGAGGGGGAGGGGTATGACACCACCTATCCCATCTACAACACAGTCCCATCAGCAGTCCCACACCCATTTGCACTGATTCAGGTGACCCTAAGGGTACAGATAAACCCCCAAGTGGCCTCAATGGCTCTCAAGGAGCTAAAGGCCAGATGACTGCTAAGGAATAGAAATCGCTCCATTCTCCATTGAAAAAGCTTTTGGATGAGAAGTGAAACGCTTTCAAGGTAAAAAACCAAGAAAGTCCAGTTGCCTTTGGGGGAAAGAAAAAAAAACTTTGGCATAACCTAGATTAGTGCAACTTCCATTTACTCAAGAGCTTTGTAAGGCTCATTGAAGGCTGTCCTCCAAAATGTGGGTGGTGCTAGGCCCATTTTGAGAGGTTTTTTTAAAAGGGGAAAAGCAAACAACCCTTTCTAGGATTATATATGAACCAATGTTACTGAAGATTTTCCAGTTAAGAGTTTTTCATTAGATTTAATTTCATGTAAGAAGCTTGCATATAAATTATCTAAACCCTATCTTGTATCTGTATATTGATGAGCTAACAGGTTTTTCAATATAAGTGTAAAATAGCAGCTTAATCTTTGCCGAAATGGGTGGGAAGGCAGAGATTAAAAACTTTTAATCAATTTTACATAATTACAACACAATATGAGCAAAAGAATGTACATTATTGAAATCTTAAATACTAAAATCCTATTCAAAAAGCAGTCAATCTTGTTCAATAGGTTGACTATGTGCTGATTTAAATGTAAGGATATCTTTTGCAATAAGAATACTGATCTTAATGTTCAGTTAATTGGTGAATCAAACTAAAGGGAAGGCAGAAAAACCTCAGTGTAATTTTGGAAAGTATCAAGTATAACTACCTATTATTAAAATAAACATATTTCTTATTCCCAGGCTCATAATCCAGTTAAATAAAAGTTTCTTTAAATATCCCCTAGATTTTAGGAAATAAATCCTAAGGTTATTTTTACAATTTTGTACTCAATTCGATGTTAATTGCATATACTACATTGGGGTAGTCACTTTTACACCTTTAGAACTTTCCTGTGATATTTAGTAAATATAATTTATTATTTATGTTAATTTCATAATATTGTTAGTAATTCTAAATACAAATACATAAATACATTTATTCAACGAATTTTTAGTTTGTGTGTTTTCTCCTGAAAGATACCACCCCCCAATACACACACAATTCAGACATGCGATAAAATAACATCCTTGGTAAGATTACAAACCTTGGTAAACCTTTGCCCTGTTCTTGTTTTTTCTTTGACACCTGCTGAATAACCTGTTCCCAGTTTACACTTCTACGGGACACACTGATGATCTGCCTCAAAGTAGGTTTCAGTCCAGATTCTTTTTCTGTCTCATTCTTCCGGTGACCACTCACATTTCGAATGCGCCGTGCGTTATTGAGATTTGGCTCAGGCAAATGAGAGCTAATTTTATTTTTTAAGCTAGTGCGCCATGTCAGGTCTCTTTGGAGAGAAGCTGGGAACCCAAGTTTACTCAATTCAGGAAGAAGGGGGCCTGTAGTACCTTTCAGCAGCTCGTGATTCGAATGATCTCCTTCATCTTCTTTTTCAACAGCATCATTTGATTTCGTAACATCTTCATCCCCATTTTGTTCCAGAGTTGTTTTCAACTCAATATCTAACTCACAGGGATAGTTTGACAAAGAGTCTGGGGTCTCCTTTTGGAGTTCAATGTGTTTTTTATTAGCACCATTCAATTCATCTAAACAGTTATCATTTTTAATAGCAATGTGATCAAGGTCAGCAAGGCCAAAAGAGGAGTAAGAATTTGAGGGAGTATTTATGCTTCCTGGTTTATTTTCATTGTTTGTGTTCTCTACTCCTTTGGTCTGGACTTCATGTATCTTCAAATCATGTGAAGAGTCTTCAGTTTTCTGTTCTTCTTTCCAATCACTCTGAGCATCTCCACTGGAGCTTGACCTGGACTTCTGAAAAGAGTAACTATGCTGGGGTTCATCTTTGGCCTTTTCTAATGCTTTGTTTAAGCTTTCACTGCTGCTAAACAGAAGTGTGTTCCCTTTTAAACTGCTATAGTTACATGAATTATTGTTCAGCTTGGATTTATTCAAGGAACTGCTAACCTCTGTACTCAGTTGACTTTGGACTTCCCCAGAAGATGAGGAAACATGGGCATTTTTCAAGAGACCCTTTGAACTTCTTCTAGAAGAGGATATAATAACTGGAATAGCTAGAAGTGGGGACTTCAAGGAGGGCATCTTTCTATTTTTGCTTTCAGATTTACTTGACTTGTTCTCACTTGTGCAGGCCACTGGCACCTTGCATGGTGCAACTTTAGGGGATGCCTTACTGTTAGTTGAAGATATTGAATAACTTTCTCGTTTTCTCACTTTAGGGTTGCTGGTTTTAGGATCTGCTGTTTCTGAAGAAAGCTGAGACAATGCTTTCTCTGATGTTTTAGCTACATCTTCAGACAGTGGCTGCTGCTCTACAGTTTTCTGGGAAGGATAAGGAGCCCATCGACTAGTCTTTTCTCGAGAAGGACTGCTGGACTTTCTACTGACTTTGGAATTCTTACTTTCTGAGTGCTCAGAAAAACTAAAATTAAGCAATTGATCTGAAGGTAGCTGGTCACTTGTGAAATCTAATAAGCAATCAGGATTGCCATTTTTATGATCAAGACCGGTATAATTTTCCACACCTTTCTGCCATTGCCATGTACAATTTTCACTGCTGTATTTATCCTGTACACTATTTATTTTTAACCAGGAAGTATCCATGTTGTCTACCTGAGAACTATTGTTAACAGCTCTATTTCTTCCAGTGTTCCATCCATTTCCATTTTGTTGAGCAGATTTCCAGTGCCCCCCTACATTTTTGGATTGCCAGTTGGAAAATACATTATTTGCTTCAGAACTCCAATTGGAATTTCTTCCTCTATCATGATGATGCCAATCTGATGTTGCACCTCTATCCTTCTGATGCCAAATACCTCCAGTGTTTCCATAGTTATGATATCGACTTGGAGGTCCTCTGGAACCATTTTGATGCCATCCAAGTTGTTCTCTTTGGCTGCTGAGATGTCTGTTTGAGTTAGTAGAATTCCTTGAAGAGTGGATGGATTTTCCTTGCTTGGAATTTAAGAAACTATCCTTTTCCCAGTTCCAGTCCCTCTGTGATGGTCCATGATGCCTCCTTGATGTTGTTTCATAACGATCTTGATAAGAGAGCCTCTCATTTTGTCGCCTTCGCAATCTCCTATCATCACCTTCTGCTTCACGGTTTATATGACAAAATTCACTTGTCCTAACAAAGACATAAACATTTACATTTAATGATTAAAGACACAAATATTTACATCTAATGATTTAATAATCAAAATAACAAAAATTTGTTAAAACTGCAGAATCCTGGTTTAAATCCAATTCTATGTTTTTAATCCAGTTCTACATTTTTGTTAGTTTTTTTAATCAACATTGTCAAATAACAGCTTCTTCTAAGGAAGTAAAGATCAAAGTTCAAATGAAAGTCAACTTGAAATTACCTTTTACTTTCAAGTGGGACGAACACTTAAAGCAACATTCCATATATACATCATCCTTTACTACTATTATTATTTTTACCCCAGCATATCAAATAATATATTATGGAAATTATTTCCTTAGTCAAAAATTCAGAAAAACCACTCAGAAAAAGATATTGTGAATCTTTAAGGGAGATACTTCCTCTATTTCCCATTTCTAACATATTGGTTAACTGAAAACGATTCTTGAAGTACACAATAATTAGACCTACACAAAAGTACTTAGATCTGAAATAACTCAAAACGAAGCCAATTCAGTTCTAAACAAGAACAGTATTACATATAGCTTTCCTTAGCTTCCAACTACTGCAATGGGTATTGCATAGATCACAGGTTGTCACAGGACAGGGGTTCCTCCAGAAAGGTTTATCATATGACTATGTAATACTGTTCTTGGTTAGAACTGAATTGGCTTCATTTCAGTGGTGGGATTCAAAAAATTTTACTACCGGTTTTGTGGGAGTGACTTGATGAGCGTGGCTTGGCTTGGCGGGCATGGCTTGGTGGGCGTGGCAGGGAAAGGTTACTGCTAAATCCCATTCCCTCCCCACCCCACTAACCTGCTTTCCAGCTCCATTCTCCTGTGCAGGGCAACAAAAGAAGACCCAGCCGATCAGCTGGGACTCGGGAGGCAGAGAATGGAAGGGGCGGGGCCAACCAGAGGTGGTATTTGCTGTTTTTCCCGAACTACTCAAAATTTCCGCTACGGTTCTCCAGAACTGGTCAGAACCTGCTGAATATACCACCTCTGCTTCATTTTGAGTTATTTCAAAAGAAGTGAAATGTCAGAAAAATATACTGTTTTAAAAAAATCAACATGATTCTCTCCCTTTCTCTTATAGCCAACTGGAGATGTAAGAGAAAGAAAAATTTCACACTGTAATATCTGACAATTTCTGTGTATGGGCATGTTGAAGGTTTTGAGTTCCATATCCTTTTTTAACTTTGAGAAGACTCCTTAGCAATTCCATAAATAGGAGTCAATTAACTGTGGATCATCAAGATTTCAGGAAGATCACTAGATCAAAGGTCAAAAAAATTGTAGCTCAGTAATGTAATGCTAAGTTAATTCTTTTCTCATTTCCCACATTTAATTCTACCAGGATAATTCTGGCACGTTTAACAGAATCCAGCTAGTTTTATTGCTCTGAATGCTAAAATGAAATGTAACATATTCAAAAAAGTCCATCAAGGTTATTAAAGACATAGACAGTCACAACTGGCAGGAGCTCAAATCCTCCTGATTCAATGACTGGGGAAAAGCAGGCAGGGTCAGCATTATCCATATCTTTGGGGGACAAGCACAGCAACAGAAAAGGCACCTTTTCTGTTAGAATTATTTAAAAGTTGTCAGATCTTATTGGAGGTGCAGAGCTTTTCCCCAAGGCAATTTGAGAGGGTGGCTATATAAATCATGTAAATAAATAAATGAATAATACCGATAGACCTTTTGAGTTGGTCACGACTGAATAGGGGAAACCTTTATTAAAGTTTAATAATTTTCTGTATAAGTGGAAGATACCAATGCTGAAATTCACTTAGTCAGATACACAATGGATTTTTCAGTTTCATAGGAAAGAAGGAAGGATCACACTTTGAAGTAGGGGAGAATGGACAGAATTGGTGACCACATAAACCAATTTTTTCTACCACGCAAAAGACTAAAGATATGCAACTTAACCAAAGTAAATACATGGTCTTTAAATTGCACATTACTAAAAGTAGTGAAACAAAAGCCGTGAATCAATTTTTGCAAATTGTCTGAAAGGATGTTTTCTGGCGCTGTCAACAGTAAAGTGCTGAAAACGGTCACATTGTCCTGAACATTTGGCACAGCAATTTTGAGAGCCTTCCTAGGCTTTGCTTAAATACCAGCAACGGTGGAATTCAGTGCTTGTACTTTCATGCGCATACAATCTGGGAAAGCCTGCAAAGCAGCTGCACCAGACACAGGGGAACACATATCTGCCTCAATCTTTCGTGAAGCAATGCCTCACACGTTGGCTTGCTGCCACTGAAACATCACTCTGAATGAGTTGCCCTGCTCTTCCCTTCCAAAGAATGAAATAGGATACATTCTTTTACAGTGAATCCTAAAAAAAACCCATATGCTAGAGTGAAAGAGATTGATTAGAAATGCATTTATATCTTGAAACACATGATTAATTTAACTCATATATATATATATACATACATACATACATACATACATGCATATATATATACATACATATATATATATACACATACACATACACATATACATATACATATACATACATACATACATATATATATATATATCCAGTTTTGTAGTTTCAGGTTTTGCATATACATAAAAACTAAGGGTGAAGCCTCCGCATTTAAGCCAAAAGCATAGCATGCTTTCGATTTATTTTGTATGATATAATAAAAAATAGGTTATAAATGTGGCAGAATTAGTTACTGTGACCTGGACAAAAGTTTGTAAAGTGTAACAGGCATGACTGGAGAGTATATTTATAGAAGAATCTTAATACCCATATTAGGTATATTTAAATGTAAGTGGCAAAAAATAATTCCACAATTATTTCATGCACAGAAAGCTATATCAATAGTAGTTAGGTTTAATTGCTAATTCAGAAAGCATTATTCCAAAACCCAAACACTTTTAAATTATAAACTTCAAATAGCAAGTTAGTCAGTTATTGGAATTCTCCCAGCTACATGCAACTCGAGACTGCACAGAAAACACCCCTGCACTTTCAAAAGCATTTTCTTTTGTTCAAAGAACCAATAAAGAACTTCATAAAGTGCAAATTAATGAAACGTGAAAAGACTCACCGGTTTTGTTCATTTCTTTGCTGTATTAATTGGATAAGTTCCTTGTCAAAGTATTCTTCATCGGTCTTTTCTTTCTCTTCCTCGGCATCGTGGGCTTCAACGCCGTCTTTGTGCAGCTGGCTGGAGATGTGCTTGGCATATGCTGACAAGCCCACCACAGTCACCCTACACACTTGGCACTCATGATTGCTGTCCCTGGGGAAAGAAGGAGAAGGTGGGCACTCAATTCTTCCCACAGGCATGGCAAACAATGCTGATCTTAATTCAGTTTCCTCTGAACGAACATGCCTCGGTCAATGAGACACAAGAGCTGGTAATTTAGGTCGAAGTTAAAAAGCAATTAAACCTGTTGCTTTCTAAGCTTTGTCTTTTGAATTCACTTGGCTGTTTCTTGGTGGATTTCAGATTTTTTTCCAACAATCAAGAGGTAAAAAACTTGATAATAAACAAGGGGTCATCTGGGATTCTTCTTGAATTGCTGTACTCAAAATCTTGTGAAAGGAAACATAGTGGAGCAGGGGGCTTGGAGAGCTAGCTGAAGCTGCTCTAAAGCACCTCCATGGTGCCAGCTGCACTGGGGAAACTAGTGTCAGAGTCTAGAATTAAGCTCTGTCTCAGCTTTCCTCAGCAGAGGAGGGGAAAACTTCAGCAGCCAATCTTAACACAGTGAAATCTAATCCAGGACAACTGGCACAGTGGCCTGGAATTCAAAGACTGCAAGGGAGTCTCCAATTCACTGTACTTTATTTGGTTTCAGAAAATGCAAGTTGTCCATTCTCTACTTGGTGAGGATTAGGCTAAAGGCACAAAATTATTTCAGCTGGAGGGAACAGACAGCTGTCAGACAAGTGGCCAACAAATAAAATCCTTACATATTTAGTTTCTAGTCTTGGAAGCTTCCAGGGAAAGAAACAACACTGAAAGCCTTAAAATGCTTTGAAGAGAGGATAGTTGTCATTGCCAAAACAGGGAAGAAGCCCCTGTAACTTATTAAAATTAAACCTGTTTTTAACTTTTATTTTTTTAAGGTTGCAATTTTCCAAAAGTTTGTGAGATTTTGTGACCTCATATGAAAATGCCAAAAGCATTATTCTTCAGCAAGAGTTAGATGATTTGAAAGGTTTAAAGGAATTTGGCAAGTGGACCCAAGCCATCACAAAAACTCGTGAAATAACATCAAAGGCCTGAAAATCTACTCCCTAAAATAATAATAATTTTAAAAATGAATAGCAAAATTAGTGCCTTTTGTGACTATGATCTGCAATAGTTTTACATATTGACAGTCCACAATTCCATATATTCATAATAGTCAGAAGGGTAGTGTAGTAGCAATAGAGGTCCTGTGTGCAAACAGCACACTGCTGTGCCTCAACACCTATATGGGCCTCAAATACCTACATGATCTCACTTAGCAGAGTTGGCTTGTACATGATCTCACCTAACATCATCACTTCCTTACTTGTATATTCTTAAGGATTGGTGGGGGAATGCACCAATCCAGATGCTGTTTCTATATTACCTTTTCCTGCTTGTAAAAACTGTATAAAGGGCAATAAACACTGCCCAGACAGTCAGACATCTTGGCACCCTACAAAATGACTGGTCTTTGAACTCCATCAGGGTAGTACAATCTTTGGAGATAAATTGATGGCTTACTGCACTGTGAATTGGAGCTCTGGAATCTCTTTTCCATTTCCAAATGAAAAAGAATAAAAATGAAACTTTCAGAATTCCAAATTTAAAACCCACTAACTTAAATAAACCCTTTTTGAAGAAAAAGAAGTTTAGAGACCAATACTATCCCACACTGCATTCCTACACATTCCACAATTAAGTACGTGAACCATTATACTAAGGTTTTATTAAGGGTTTAATAAAGGGACAACAAGCATACTTAGAATACTGTCTTTTGCTTTAAAGCTTTATGCCAATAATAATTTATTATGTGGGCACAACGCAGCTGCAAAACCAACTGGCCAGAACATATTTTAGTGATGTGATAGAAGCCCCCATTTCCTGGACTACAATCATCTTAGTTATTCTATGAAGAATTTCTCTTAAAGGAAATGCAGGCTGAGGAATCTTCTTCCACCTCTGTAATTTGGAAAGTGTGAAAGACAAACCAAGGGGGAGAAATCCTTCACCCACCCACAAGACATGAGACTACATGCTTCACTAAGAGATCAGCTGATTGCTAAATAAAGCACCATCCCCTTCATTTTTTTAAAAAAAATAGTTTTAAAATGGAATTCTGTATATTCTGCTAATTCCTATGTAACTGAACACTTAGTTTTCTTGAGTTTATCCCAGTATTATAAAGGTGCACCAGGGACAGGTTCCATGGAAAACAATTTTTCAGGGACTGGGGGTGTGGGGGGAGTAGTTTTGTGCATTACCTAGATCCTGTGCATGTGCAGATGAAGCTTTTCTCACTTGCGCGGCCCAGTTCCTGACACGCCACAGACTGCTTTCAGTCCATGGTCCAGGGGTTGGGGACCCGTTTTAAACAATATCATCTTTCCTACTGCTTGCCCTAAAGTTTCTCTCTTGAGAATCGGGGGGTCCTGACCCTCTTGGCTTTCCAGAAGGCTATGAAGATCTGGTCTTTTTTCCAGGCATTAGGGCTGGAATGTTAGGGAAACCCATTATATACAACTTGTTTTGCAAGTGCTAATTTGAAGTGAGTGGCTATGTAAATTGCCTAAATAAATTTATAGCAAAAAAAAGTTTCACTAGATATATCCATGCACTGAACGTATCTTGATCCCAGCCAAAACTACAATGAATTCAGAAATGTTATTGATTTCAAATGTGCATTTGAGTTTTTTAAATTCACATCATTTCAATTATTTTTAAGCAAAACAGAGACCAAGTGAAATAATATGTATTTTGTAGTCCAGAAATCTACTAATATTTCACATTTAATATTCAGCTGCAAGCACTGTATGAACTATGGGAAAAAGTGCATTTTTGCTAACACTATTAACAGATTGACAGTTTACAAATTACAAATAACACTATCAATGGATTGACAACAAATATAAATTTAATTTAATCTACATAATTCCTCTTAATGTTTAATAGAATTTTCCTATGTTTTGTGCCACAATGGATTGTTACTGTTGTTAAACATCACAGATATCCAAATAACTTAGTGAGGACCAAATTGCTTCTGGATTTAGATAGGGATTCCTCCTTAAACTCTAAAAACTTGGCATATCCCAATGTACTCTACCCATTGATATAAATGGATCATATTCATACCTGCCCAAATCAGAACATTAAACAGAGTAGAGCAGTCACAGAAGATGGGAAACCTAAATACAAAGCTAAATTAAGACCCTTCCTGATATAGCTGTTTAGATTGTTCAGATGGGATATAAAACTGGTCTATCAAAATAGTTGGAAATAATTGCTGTTACCTTGATGGCTCATAATCACTTTAAAACTTGCAATTATAAGAAAAAGTTGTTTAAAATTATTATTTTAATAAAAATTAGCTGGAATTGCTAGCTAAAGTTACATAGCTAAAGTTAATGTTGGTGACACTCTGCTATCAAGAGCCCTCACCCATCAGCTGTTCAGTCAGGCAACAGATGGACCTTATTGCCAAGAACAAGGTCAATTGGTTGTAAGATTTAGTTTCAAGATGAGCAGATTCAAGAAGAGGTGATTATTAGATGATTATTTTAACTTGTTTGTTTCTAAGAAACTGTCTTTCCCATATATTGGGACTACAACTCCCTAAATTCACACCAAAATGGTTATATCCAGCAGGCACTATGTTGTTGAATGTACTTTTTAAAAATATAGAAGGCTTAGTTTCTGTACTGAACTGACAAAGTTTTATTAACTTTATAAGCTATAATTGTTTGGGTTGATATTAAGCCAATATACTCTCTCCTGCAACCAACATTGTTGAATTCATGCTCAGAGTACATATTATAACTTTATGCAGTGTTTTTCAACCTTAAAAACTTTACAATATGTGGACTTCAACTAGAATTCTATACCCAGCAGACTCAGTTTTTATATTGTTTCTGCTTCCAACTTGAAGTACTCCAGATGTTTTCGGTTACTGTTCCCAGAATTTCTACCCAGCAATTTTAGAAGTTGAATTTTAATTCATCTGAAATGCCCCAAGTAGCCCATTTGACAATATGAAACTGAGTATTATGGCACTAAAAACAGAATATCAGACACTGCAGGACTCCAGTCTACTTTTATTCATGAGTTAATTAAGGTAAGTCTTTTTGAATTTGAGTATCTTCTTCCTGGGTGGTTTTTTTTAGTTTTTAGTTTAGTTTAGTTTACTTTATTGTCATTGCACCTGTACAACGAAATCAAACACCATCTTCAGTGCACATCATGACCATGAAAATAAACACAAACACACATCCTTCACCCTCCACACATTGAACCGAAAACCCCCAACACTGCACTATACAGTAGAATTCAAAGGAACTACTGCCCTGGGATAGAAGCTGTTTTTCAGCCTATTTGTGCTTCTTTTTATTATTCTGTACCATCTGCCAGATGGTAATAGTTCAAAAAAAGGGTGCCCAGGATGAGATGGATCTTTGAGAATGTTTTGAACTTTCTTAAGGCAGCAGAAGCTATAAAGCTCTTCCAAAGAAGGGAAAGGACAACTAATGATCTTCTGGGCAATGACGTTAACCTTCTGGAGTGCTTTCCTATCTGCCACTGTGCAATTGGCAAACCATACAGAGGTGCAGTAAGTTAAGATACTCTCTATGGTGCAGAGGTAGAAGGTCACCAGCAGTTTTTCATTCAGTTGTTGTTTCCTGAGAAGTCTCAGGTAGTATAATCTCTGCTGGGCTCTTTTGACCAGTGCTGCACTGTGAGCATCCCAGCATCCCATCTTTTATGGTAACACCCAGAAACTTTAAACTGGCCACTTGCTCCATTCGATCTCCATTTATAAGCAAGGGCTGGATGTGTGATCTGTTCCTTCTATAGACCACTATAAGCTCCTTGGTCTTATTGGTGTTGAGGACCAAGTTATTGTCTCCACACCATGAAAGCAACTGGTCCACCTCATCTCGGTAGGCAGACTCATCCCCCCGGAGATGAGTCCCACCACTGTTGTATCATCTGCAAATTTAGCAATAGTATTACTAGCGTGAGTGGGAATGCAGTCATGAGCTTTTAAGCCCAGACTGAGTTACTATCTATAAGATAACACCTTTTTGTCCCATCTGTTGGATATTTATGTCTAGAATTCATCCTATTTCTTTCTCAGCTTTCTCACAACTTCTCACAATCTTGTGGCCATTTGAGTCATGCACTTAACTACAGGACCTTTAAACACTATGTCATATAGTATTTAAAAATGTAAATACTTTTTAATTGCACAGGTATTATAAAAAGGTTTAACATAAGAGTTGTATTGTACTAAATTAAAGTGAAGAAAGATGAAATGATGAAATGAATTAAAGTGAAGAAAGATGAAAGACAAATGATTGTCATAGTCATACCTTCCCTTGAGATTTTCAAGTTCCCGATGATGAAGCATACTTCTCATGTGCTCATCCATCTCCTGAAAAAGTGAAAGAGGCCATAAATAAATAGGAAGGAAACTATGTATGTGTACATGAACAAATCTCACCTGCATATTCATAGCCTACTGAGCTGCCACATTCGTCCATCTATGGATTCCACTTCTGGAATAGTCATAACTGGATACCAGATATCCTGCAAAGTCCTCCTCCAGCTCCTTACCTGCTCTATTAGGTTCTGTGAGTGAAGAACCCTCAAGTTAAAAATCAGTTTGGCTAATAATTGTGTGTAAAGGAAGAGCACACATCCATCCAAAACTAAGGAGCCAGATGGCTTCCTAACTCAAAACCATTCTAACTTGCAGGCATTGAGCCTAAAGCTGTTCTTCCCATCCCATCCAGACTTTAGCAGCCTCTAGGCATCAAGACAGAACAGCTGATTGTGTGAATGACCAGGAGTCAAAATGTAAAATTGAGTCTCATAAGCATACTTATCCCCAATAGTTTCATAAAGCTGTTAGACATGAGCAGAGAAGATGCCAAACTGTGAGGTATCCATACCCTCAGGGTGACCAATCATCCATCCACCCCTGCCCACCCAGGAAAGGAAAACCCTACAATATATAGTGCTCCCAACTCTTGAAGGCAGGCCAGAAAGATACCAAGATTTATGGTAGCAGGAGCCATCCAATTAGAAAAAAAGATACAAGTGAATGGTTGAAAACCTAAATTCCCTACTGGAATAGCCTAATATCAGTTTTCTTCTGAATTTAGGTTAGATAACATTCGACTTATAGAGCCATCTCCTAATTGATTTGCTCAAATAATAAAATCAGTTAAAAAAAATTGCCTGTGCCATCTGAATTACTTATACAAACAACTCATGCTGGCAAACATATCAAACAGACTCCCGCAACAATAACAACAATCCTCTGAGGGCTGAGGAAGTATGAGTAGCCCAAGGTCAGAACTCATGGTCTCTGGCTTTCTAGCATGGTACCCTTAACCATTAGACCAAACTGACTATTTTTATTATGTCTGGTAGGAATTATGCCTGGTAGGAAGATACAAAGTCTAAATTATACGCAGGACATAAAGTACACTGCATTGAGAAACATTTGTTTCCTTCTTTGTTGTATCTTAGTACCATCAAGGCACTAGCTCTATTTTGAGTTTTCTAGAGCAGAAATACATAACAGCTTCTGAAAACTATTCAAGAAGTTGCCACCAAACCCTACAGGTGAAACTCAAAAAATTATCATGCAAAAGTTCATTTATTTCAGTAATGCAACTTAAAAGGTGAAACTAATTTATGAGATAGACTCATTACATGCAAAGCAAGATAGTTCAAGCCGTGATTCATCATAATTGTGATGATTATGGCTTACAGCTCATGAAAACCCCAAATCCACAATCTCAGAAAATTAGAATATTACATGCAATCAATTAAACAAGGATTGTACATAGAACAATATCGGACCTCTGAAAAGTATAAGCATGCATATGTACTCAGTACTTGGTTTGGGCCCCTTTTGCAGCAATTACTGCCTCAATGCGGCGTGGCATGGAAGCTATCAGCCTGTGGCACTGCTGAGGTGTTATGGAAGACCAGGATGCTTCAATAGCGGCCTTCAGCTCTTCTGCATTGTTTGGTCTCATGTCTCTCATCTTTCTCTTGGCAATGCCCCTTAGATTCTCAATGGGGTTCAGGTCAGGCGAGTTTGCTGGCCAATTAAGCACAGTAATCCCACGGTCATTGAACCAGGTTTTGGTGCTTTTGGCAGTGTGGGCAGGTGCCAAGTCCTGCTGGAAAATGAAGTCAGCATCCCACATAAAGCTCATCTGCGGAAGGAAGCATGAAGTGCTCCAAAATCTCCTGGTAGACGGCTGCGTTGACCCTGGACTTAATGAAGCACAGTGGACCAATACCAGCAGATGACATGGCTCCCCAAATCAACACAGACTGTGGAAACTTCACACTGGACTTCAAGCATCTTGCAGTGTGTGCCTCTCCATTCTTCCTCCTGACTCTAGGTCCTTGGTTTCTAAATGAGATGCAAAAGTTGCTCTCATCAGAAAAGAGGACTTTGGACCACTGAGCAACAGACCAGTTCTGTTTTTCTTTAGCCCAGGTAAGATGCTTCTGATGTTTGTTGTTCAGGAGCGGCTTGACAAGGGGAAAACAACATTTGAAGCAAATGCCCAGGATCCGTCTGTGTGTGGCGGCTCTTGATGCACTGACTCCAGCCTCAGTCCACTCCCTGTGAAAGTCCCCAACACTTCTGAA